ATTAGGAATACATATGAATCTACAGTATTTAGATGAAAATATCTTAAGAGTGTCCAAGGAATATGATCGTCAAAATTTTTTGAAGGATTTACACCTTGAATCCTCACCTCTCAAGTTTGGCCCCAAAGGATTGAAATCAAATTTGTGATCTATTCTAAATTCAAGAAAACTCTTTTGAGGGCCAGATCTTCTAACGTCAATCCTTGAATGTCTTTTGTGTCTCTTTTGTCTTATCTAAATGTCACCAGCATATTGAGATTGTTGAGCACTCACCTTCATCTTCGAATCTGGCGGCAGCTGCGTGAAAGTCGGCTGATAATAGACAACCATTGGACAGGGCTGCTGCTGCCGCTGCCGCCGCCGCTGCAGCTGCCGTGGCCGCATTAGAGGTTCCTGGATAGGCGTGCGGTACCGAACAAGAATGTCCATTTGGCAACAGGCCAACTGTCCCACAGGATAGGCTGCCTCCAGTTGTAGAGCCACCGCTACTGTTGTTGCCTCCGACAACATCACCATGGCTACCCATGCCTCCAGCGGCGGCAATGGAAGCAGCTGCGGCACTGCCATGTAAAGCCAGGGCTGCAGCTGCAGCTGCTGCCTGCATTTCGGCCGGCATGTAGGTAGTTGTGGCGGCTCCAGACTTCGGCCGCATCACACCCTGTGGCTGTAGGTAGGCCGCAGCCGCGGCAGCTGCAGCAGTCGCTGGGTTCAGATGAGCTGATTGGGTCGGAGTGAAGACATGGTGCGGATGCGTCTGGTGGGAGATGGCTTGTTGGGGCGGGCTCTGGAAGAGGCCTTGATGCGTTTGCTGGTGTGCTGTCATATGATGATGAAGATGATGCTGCTGCTGGTGGTGTTGCTGCGGATGAAGCGAATGTGTATGATTGTGATGCTGACTCAAAAAAATATTCTGCTGTTGCTGCTGTGAATGATTGTGATGTTGTGGTGGCTGATGAGACTGTTGATGCGATTGATGGTGCTGTTCAGTGGACAAGCTGTATAACATTTGCTGCTGTTGCTGCTGGGGCTGGTGTTGATGCTGGCTATGATGATGGTGGTATTGCAAGTGGTGCATCAAAGGAGATGTTACCATGGATTGCACCTGTAAAACCGTCTGTGGGCTTACTATAACGTCGGTCTCTGCGGCAGTGCTTGATGAGTGCTGAAAAGCATTCTGTTGTTGGTGGCTGTGCAGATGGCGGTGGTGGTGTAAGGGCAAATGCTCATGAGACGTCTGATCTGTTGGTTGTATAGGATGCTGAGATTGATGGGACATGTGTAAGCCCCCTGAGGTGGGCTCAAATAGCGGCCCCAACTCGGACAGACAAGAATGACTTGACAGGCCGACTTCTACTCGACCGGCAGAGTCCACTTCTTCTTCTTCTTCTCCAGCCTCTAATTCAGAGTCGTTTGATCCTGTTCTATTCAAACTTTGAACAATCGCACCCCTCTCTTGCCTCGCCCTGTCGTTGCTGGCAGGACCAGATTTTCTGCTTTCGAACCCTACCGATGTGTTTAGGCGGCAGCCACTACTGTGTCCTCCACTGTGACTCATTGGACTGTAAGTCGAAGGGAGTCCCGGTGATTGAGCTAATAAATATCACAGAAAATAATTTGAATTTTAGCCTAGCTTTTACTCTTTGTGTACCAGTTTCTTTTGAATCACCAGATTTTGTGCCAACTTTTAATTTTACCTTCTAGTTTAAAAATAGTTCAGAGTTAGTACACTAACATTTTTAGGAGAAGTGATACATTACAAACAAAGGGATAAGCTAGGCAATTTTAATAATCACCGTTAACATCAACTCATATCATATAACAGTGTTATTGCAAAAACTTTGTCAAGGCGCCGATTCTGAGGTAAAGCGTCACTTTTGTTGCTTTTTTTTGTATGAATTAATTGAAGGACTGCCCCAAATATATCAAGAAATATGGGTGGTTTCCGTGTTGCTATATTAAACTACAGATGAAGTACTCTTTAACAGATCACTTACTGCTGACCTTAGGATATGGCTATGGCACGATAATACGCACTCAATGTGATGCCAGATGATCCATGAATCAGGCAAAGCCATCCAGTAGTAATAACTGAGTTGAGAAGTTTATACAATTGCGTCCAGATGTAATGAAAATATGTATA